GCCTCCCTGGTTCAAGTGATTCTCCTGCCTCAGCCTTCCTAGTAGCTGGGACTACAGGGGCCCACCACCACGTCCGGCTAATCTTTTGTTTTTTTAGTAGAGACGGGGTTTCACCGTGTTAGCCAGAATGCTCTCGATCTCCAGATATCGTGATCTGCCCTCCTTGGCCTCCCAAATTGCTGCGGTTACAGACATGAGCCACCACACTCAGCCACAAATTAAGTTTTAAAAGCATTAATTTCAGACTACTATTTTTTAAATGTTACAACTAAGTCAAACCACCAATTACTAATAAGTTTTTATTTAATCAGTAATTTTGACTTTGCTACTCTCTGCCCTATATTACCAGTAGGTTTATGTATGCGGAAAGAAAGGGAGAGAAAATAGACTGGGATAGATCAGAATACAAATGGGAAGTTATTGTCTAAGGCTGAGAATCAGGAAAATACTGTGGGATATTTTCTAGTCTACTCAGTGCTAAAGCTATGGTTGATAGGTGAAAAAACTTGAAAAAAAAAACACACCAAAAAACTATTGTGATCGATTTTTTTTCACGTTAGCTAAAATAGTGAAGCATGTAATGGCACTCAGCCAGTTTCTAAAACATGGACAAATCTATATTGCGTGACCAAGAAGAAACAGAGGATGCTATTGAAATTGATCTATTTATTCATAACATGTAAAATATTATGTAATATTGTATATAAAGCTATCTTTAGTATGTGGTAGATACTAGGAGCAACAAAATAAATAAAACCCAGGCAGGTGTTATATTTATAAACTTACAGTCTAGAGAGAAAATACAGTTAAATAAGTAATTGTTAATGCAGTATTGATAGGTGCATTTAAAGAGGCATGTACAACGAGCTCTGATGGAATACAGAGAATGAATGAATCACATGGAGGCTTTAGGGGAAGCTTCCCAGAGGAAGCAGCATCTGAGCTGGATCTTGAATTCAGTTCTGTCAGAAAAAGGAAAACTTGCTCAACCGTTCAGACAAGGAACACAAAAGCATTTTGGAGTGACAATCGGTATGCCTTGTTCTATGAATTGTGTAAGCAGTATTATTATTGACTTGTGGATTTTTATGTAGTCACTGCATACCAATCAGTTATGATGACATTTTTCTTTCAGACACTCAAATTGTCTCATCTTTGACCAATGAGATCTACTTCAAGTTGGCTCCAGGGTTCTTTTGACATGACTCACTTAGATTTTTAGAGCTTCCACGCTGTGTTTTGCGGCACAGTGAGATGCCTTAAGCTCACCTTGTAAATTCTCTATATGAGACCTAGGAGCAACCATTATTCCAAGAATCCTGGTACCGGTACTGGGAAACAGCATTTAGAGACATACATGTGGGCAGTGGAGTTGGTTATTGGCCTGGGAGCATTATGGACTAGGTTCTGTAGACAGAGATATATCTCCTATACATATATATGAATATATTCTATATACAGCATATATTCTATACATCTATACCTTATGTGTATATCCTATAGATACAAATAAAGTCATATAGTTTCCATTACAAAGAGGTACCTAGTTTCATCCAATGTTTGTTGATGAATATTTGTGTTTTTAATAAGTTTTTATTGCTGTAATATATATTGCTATACATTCTATACATATATGTGTGTGTATATATGTATGGGCTATATACATATATGTGTATATATACACATATATAGATGTGTGTGTGTATAATCATCTCACAATATTTAGATATCTATAAATCATGAGATGATAATTGTAAATGTGTGTGTGTGTGTGTGACCTATGAAAAGGTAGCATACATACATACCAGACTATCTTCTATGTTGCGTTTTCAACTTAACATTATATCCTGGGAGTCTCTCATAGCAACATTCTTTTTTATGTTTTTTAAAATAATCCATCTAGGGAAAGATCCACAGTATCCACTATGAAGATGTACCTTAGTTTCATTTAACCAATGTTTATTGATGAATATTTGTGTGTTTTAAATAATCTTTTGTTGCTATAAATGATAATGTATATATAATTTTATATGTGTACAGCTGTATTACAGAATAACATAAAAAATTTAATAAAAGAAGAAATGAGGCTGGGTGTGGTAGCTCATGCCTGTAATTCCTAGCACTTTGAGAGGCCAAGGAGGGCAGATCACAAGAAAGTTCAAGACCAGCCTGACCAACATCGTGAAACCCCGTCTCTTCTAAAAATACAACAATTAGCCGGGCATGGTGGTGAGTGCCTGTAATCCCAGCTACTCAGGAGGTTGAGGCAGGAGAATCGCTTGAACCTGGGAGGCAGAGGTTGCAGTGAGCCGAGATGACACCACTGCACTCCAGCCTGGGCAACAAAGCCAGATTCCATCTCAAAAAAAGAAGAAGAAGAAATGATACATGGCAGTATACAAATTATTGAATGGCACAATACAGCATGGAGAAACAGTGTATAGTGCCTGAGTCTGGGCTCTGAAAACATATATAGAAATTTGGTGTAAAGTAACAGGTATAACATTATATTCTTAGAAGTAGGAATGTTAAATCAAAGGGTCAAAGTCTTGTAATTTTGTTGTATGTTGCCACATTCCTCTCCTTGGGATTCTATCACCTTGTATCTCCACTAGCAATGGATGAGAACGCCTAATTTCTCTCAACCTCTACCATAGTTTTGTCAATTTTTAAATTTTTGCCAATTTGATGGTTAGGTGAAAAGTCGTTTCTCATTGTGTTTTTCCTTTGCATTCATTTATTCTAGTGAGATGAGCATATGTTCATACATTTAAGGGTCATTTGCTTTTCTTTTCATATGAACTGCTGGACTATGACTTCCGCCCATTTTTCAATTGGTTTGTTGTTCTGCTTTTAAAAATTGATTTCTAGGAGCTCTTTTTTGTGTTGGAGAGATATCCCTTTGGAAGGACATAAATAGAAAATATTTTCACCAGCTGTTAATTTGTCTTTTCAATTTTATGTTTTTCTTTATTTGACACACGCAAGTTTTACATTTCTTTGTCATCAATTTTGTCAGTCTTTGTCGTTAC